GAATTACAGATTGTCATTTCTCAGGTTCACGGGGGGTCACTGGTTCCCATCCAGCAGTCAGGAGCGGGGTAAACCCTGAACTGGCCGTAAGTCCATCACATGTTAAAAGGGAATAAAGTAAAAGACGCTTGCAATAAATATAAGATAAGATAATATATACAGAACAGGCTAATTAAACCTATGTTTTGCAACAGTTTATTATAATTTTCCTGCCTGACCTTCTGCAATTCTGGCCTTTGGGCATATGTTGTGACCCTGTCATAAAACACAGTGGAGATTTTATTTAATTTCAATAAACTGAGAGTGGACAGATAACTGTAGACACCATCTCTGTGGAAACCACACAGGAAACATAAATCCATTAATTTAMAATAAAATAAAAATMTTTAATCCAGTAGCAGCAGGCAGCATCTTACCAGCAGCAGCATACACTTGCTCTCCCTTACGGCTCCACAGCAGCCGAGGAAGCCAATGATGACCAGCAGAGCCCCAATGGCAATCAGCAGGTAGCCCACATTGAGCACCTGACTGATCTCTGATGGCACACCTTCAATTTTCCCAAGAAAGCTGAGGATGGAGCCACTGTCCACCTTCACCCAGATCCCCACGCCCAGGATGCCAGCACCCGCCAGCTGAAATGATGAGAGGAAAAAAAAGAATGAACGGAAGAGTTAGAATTTAAAATACGCTCCTGCACATCTGAAGCAGCCTGGTCTATGTCAGAGCATTAAATGTTTGTTAACAGCAGGGTTTCTATAAAATCAGTCATATTTTGTATAATATAGTGTATACTTCAAGCAGATTAGTCTTGAATGGAAACTTACATCAAGCATTTTGTGACAACTCAAAACGGTCTACGGGAACTTTGTTAACAGGAACTGTTTTTGTTTCTTTTTGCTTTTGTCATTTTTAGAATTTGGATATTCAGCTTTGTGACCTTTTTAAAATTCTGAATGATTGCTCTGTGTTGTGAAAAGGTTACGAAGATTAATTTTTTTATAGACGACCTCAATTTGAAGAAATTGTTTATTTCTGACCAGATTTTCGAGCTAACAACTAGTCTGAGCAATTGAACCAAAGTGGGCTGCTGTCATCCTAAAACAGGCAGAGACTGTTAAAWAAAAGCTCATAGAGGTTCATACAACCACTAATCACTTACAGTTTTATTGGTACTTACTTTTAATTCTGTGTTTATTTGCAAACCATAAACAGCCATTTGCAGAACTTCAAACTGAAATATTACAGCATTTTTTTCTGAGGAATAATTGTGCAACTAAAAACTGACAGCAGAGTAAAGACTTGGAAAGTAGTGATTTTCTAAATGGTTATAATGGGTTTGGGACTGGAGTTGTTTTAGGATGGCAGACTTTGGTTTAGTCCTCGCTCCACTTGGGTTATCAGCTAGCCTGTTAATTAGGTTAAACTGCAAACGAGGTTGTTTATAAAACTATAACAGATGAGAGGGTTTTGGGTTTTAACATTTTCCCAGAACCCCACTTTAAAATATCTGAACTATTACTTTGAATTATTAGGGGTAAAAA